GACACAAAAAATTAGAATCAATATGACAATACTGTATACTGAAGGAAAATCTCTTCGGTGCCGTCGAAGGGGTAGTAATTCCACCCTTAATAATGAAAAAAATAATTTCACCCTGAAGGAAACGAGAAGCCAAGTTGATATTGACACAAATAATTAGAATCAATATAACAATACTGTATAATGAAGGAAAATCTCTTCGGTGCCGTCGAAGGGGTAGTAATTCCACCCTTAATAATGAAAAAAATTATTTCACACTGAAGGAAAGGAGAAGCCAGGTTGATATTGACACAAAAAATTAGAATCAATATAACAATACTGTATACTGAAGGAAAATTTCTTCGGTGCCGTCGAAGGGGTAGTAATTCCACCCTTAATAATGAAAAAAATAATTTCACCATGAAGGAAACGAGAAGCCAGGTTGATATTGACACAAATAATTAGAATCAATATAACAATACTGTATAATGAAGGAAAATCTCTTCGGTGCCGTCGAAGGGGTAGTAATTCCACCCTTAATAATGAAAAAAATAATTTCACCCTGAAGGAAACGAGAAGCCAGATTGATATCGACACAAAAAATTAGAATCAAAATAACAATACTGTATACTGAAGGAAAATCTCTTCGGTGCCGTCGAAGGGGTAGTAATTCCACCCTTAATAATGAAAAAAATAATTTCACGCTGAAGGAAACGAGAAGCCAGGTTGATATTGACACAAATATTTAGAATCAATATAACAATACTGTATAATGAAGGAAAATCTCTTCGGTGCCGTCGAAGGGGTAGTAATTCCACCCTTAAAAATGAAAAAAATAATTTCACCCTGAAGGAAACGAGAAGCCAGGTTGATATTGACACAAATGATTAGAATCAATATAACAATACTGTATACTGAAGGAAAATCTCTTCGGTGCCGTCGAAGGGGTAGTAATTCCACCCTTAATAATGAAAAAAATGATTTCACCCTGAAGAAAACGAGAAGCCAGGTTGATATTGACACAAAAAATTAGAATCAATATAACAATACTGTATACTGAAGGAAAATCTCTTCGGTGCCGTCGAAGGGGTAGTAATTCCACCCTTAAAAATGAAAAAAATAATTTCACCCTGAAGGAAATGAGAAGCCAGGTTGCTATTGACACAAAAAATTAGAATCAATATGACAATACTGTATACTGAAGGAAAATCTCTTCGGTGCCGTCGAAGGGGTAGTAATTCCACCCTTAATAATGAAAAAAATAATTTCACCCTGAAGGAAACGAGAAGCCAGGTTGATATTGACACAAATAATTAGAATCAATATAACAATACTGTATAATGAAGGAAAATCTCTTCGGTGCCGTCGAAGGGGTAGTAATTCCACCCTTAATAATGAAAAAAATAATTTCACCCTGAAGGAAACGAGAAGCCAGGTTGATATTGACACAAATAATTAGAATCAATATAACAATACTGTATAATGAAGGAAAATCTCTTCGGTGCCGTCGAAGGGGTAGTAATTCCACCCTTAAAAATGAAAAAAATAATTTCACCCTGAAGGAAACGAGAAGCCAGGTTGATATTGACACAAATAATTAGAATCAATATAACAATACTGTATAATGAAGGAAAATCTCTTCGGTGCCGTCGAAGGGGTAGTAATTCCACCCTTAAAAATGAAAAAAATAATTTCACCCTGAAGGAAACGAGAAGCCAGGTTGATATTGACACAAATGATTAGAATCAATATAACAATACTGTATACTGAAGGAAAATCTCTTCGGTGCCGTCGAAGGGGTAGTAATTCCACCCTTAATAATGAAAAAAATAATTTCACCCTGAAGGAAACGACAAGCCAGCTTGATATTGACACAAATGATTAGAATCAATATAACAATACTGTATACTGAAGGAAAATCTCTTCGGTGCCGTCGAAGGGGTAGTAATTCCACCCTTAGTAATGAAAAAAATAATTTCACCCTGAAGGAAATGAGAAGCCAGGTTGCTATTGACACGAAAAATTGGAATCAATATAACAATACTATATACTGAAGGAAAATCTCTTCGGTGCCGTCGAAGGGGTAGTAATTCCACCCTTAATAATGAAAAAAATAATTTCACCCTGAAAGAAACAAGAAGCCAGGTTGATATTGACACAAATAATTAGAATCAATATAACAATACTGTATAATGAAGGAAAATCTCTTCGGTGCCGTCGAAGGGGTAGTAATTCCACCCTTAATAATGAAAAAAATAATTTCACCCTGAAGGAAACGACAAGCCAGCTTGATATTGACACAAATGATTAGAATCAATATAACAATACTGTATACTGAAGGAAAATCTCTTCGGTGCCGTCGAAGGGGTAGTAATTCCACCCTTAGTAATGAAAAAAATAATTTCACCCTGAAGGAAATGAGAAGCCAGGTTGCTATTGACACGAAAAATTGGAATCAATATAACAATACTATATACTGAAGGAAAATCTCTTCGGTGCCGTCGAAGGGGTAGTAATTCCACCCTTAATAATGAAAAAAATAATTTCACCCTGAAGGAAACGAGAAGCCAGGTTGATATTGACACAAATAATTTGAATCAATATAACAATACTGTATAATGAAGGAAAATCTCTTCGGTGCCGTCGAAGGGGTAGTAATTCCACCCTTAATAATGAAGAAAATAATTTCACCCTGAAGGAAACGAGAAGCCAGGTTGATATCATCAGATAATATTTACATGAATATGAGAAAATTAAAACCGAAAGGAAACTCTATACGGAAAAGGGTTAGTATTCACACCCTCATAGTAAATAAAATAAAATTCTTTGGGAGGAAACAAGAAGACACGTTGATATTATCACATAATATTCACATAAATAATAGGAAACTATACACGAAACGGAACACTCTTCGCAGAAGGGTTACTATCAACACCCTTATAGTAAATAAAATCAAGTTCATTAGAAAGAAACAAGAAGCCAGGTTGACATTATCAGATAATATTTACATGAATTCGAGAAATTTAAAAACGAAAGGAAACTCTATGCGCAAAAGGCTAAGTATTCACACCCTCATAGTGAATAAAATCAAATTCTTTGGGAGGAAACAAGAAGACAGGCTGATAATATTACATTATATTTACATGAATAAGGAAACTTAGAACGATAAACATTTCTTTTCGGAAATGGGTTACTATTAACGCCCTTATAGGGAATAAAATCAAGTAGGAAAGAAACAAAGAACCCAATATTTCATAATATGTATGTATGTACATAAATATGAGTAAACTAAAAACTAGGGAAAACTCTCTTCGGAAATGTCGAAGAGTTAGTATTGATACCCTTGAAAACATAAATAAAATGAATCGTGATGCATTGATAATACGTCATATGTTTCAATAAATACGACACAATTCACACATTTGATTGGTTTTTTTTTCGTTCAGTGTTACTCCGGCTTCAATTTCATTAAGAGACCTTAAACACTTTTCATGAATGTACCTGTGGCATGTTGTACATTGGAATTGACCTTCGTCAATTTTAACATCTTCCGAACAGAAGAGGCATTTATCTGACATATTGGAGCTATTTTTCAATAACAGCCATTTCAAATCCTGTCTGTACATGGACATGCATGCATCACCCGTTAAAGGTTGTTGTCTAACAATTTTAGAAAAAAAGTATATCACGTATACTCCACAATTGAAATTATCTGTTTGAGTCAAATGATCTAAAGTTTTAAATTTCCAATTTTTTATATCCATGTTTTTCATGCGAAGAAAATCCAATAATCTGGCCATATAGAAAGTTTCAAATAATCGCTCATTTCCTAGGGGGTCTAAAAGCGTCAATGTTTTATCTGGAATATTCAATATCACTAAAACGAAATGGTTATGTCTTGCTACTGGTAGTATAATATCATTCTTAGTTAATTGAATGCTGCCAATAAAGCTCGGATGCATAGTGTCATCGCTAAAAATTATAGAGGATTTAGCTACTGAAACTATTTGATATATTTCGAATGGTGAATTCAAAATACACAAACAATGATCAATAACAAAACTGCTCAGCCACTGTCCAGAGTTCAATGTTACGAAGTCATTGATCATTATTTCTTTCAGCGAGAAATCAACTTTGATATTTTTAGTAACGATATATCCTCTCTTCTTGTTCTTCAATTCCTTATAATACAGAGTATTTGCTACGAGCCCATTTTCGAAGAATATCAGTTTTTCAGAAGTTGTCCACTTCCTTTCTTCTATTGATAACTCCTTATCTGGCATTAAAAGTGTAGGGAGCATATAAAAATAGTAGAAATTAGTGTTCCAAAAACGTTTGTTTCTATAAATCCGCACAATTTTTATACCTTTGAAGGTGTAAATCACCAAATCACACCAGTTCCTATCTGTTATTTCAAGTATTCCTTGAATCTGGTAATGATAGTTGTGATTTTGTAAAATATTTGAGTTGTCACGACAGAGAAAATCAAAATTTGCGGTCGAAGGATCTTGATGTCGTGCTGTGAAAGGACACTTTATTTCAATGACTCCATCCGAACCTACTAAACCGTCTGGAGAAGCAGCAATGAAAGGAAATTCCTTGTGTATAGTGAGACCTGCTACTTGACAATAAGAGCTTGTTGATTTAATATATTCATTTCTTGCTACACTTTCATGTTTAGTTCCATGATCTATTGAAGGAGAATGAATGGGTTTCTGTTCGACTATTGTATTTATAATATTGGGATACGAAGAATAATCTCGTACCTTGCATACTCGACCAAAATATGATGCAGTTACTCTCATTTTCCTCTCTTCGTACCATCTCGGACAATGTCTCTGTTCACGTGTATTCATTTCCAATGCCTGTATTTCTTCTTTAGTCAAGGTAATGGAATTTAAGAAAAATTTACATTTGGATGAAATATCAAAAACATTTTCCATATGAATCGAATTTTTCTGATTTAGTGAACAAAGTTGGCAAATGAAAGTCCCACTAAATGTACGATTTGGATCTTTACTGACACACATTTGGTGAATCCACTTTTCACATTCATCGCATTTCACCCAGGCAGTACATTCATCGACAATGCCATGACCACAGTAAGCACAAAATGGTAATTCATCATCATCTTCCGGAAAAATTATGTTGGTATTGAATAATTTATCCTTCTCCTTTTTCACTATCTTGAGGAATCTACCTTCAAAATGGGTACTCGTATGTTTGTTCGGTTTTTTATTCCATTCTTCTTTCGATAATTTCTCATCAAATGGGTCCCCTATTGTCAATCGACTTTTGCCAATATCTAAGCAGCCTTCGATTTTAAGGGATACAACATCTTCTCTCAATTTTCGTACAAACTGAGAACACCTTAAATTTCTCGAACCACCTAATCTAATTCTTTTCAATTGCCCAAAATAGTTTTCGACCACTGAATTGCTAACAGAACATTCATCTGTCAACATGAGAGCACTCCAAAGTGGGCAGAGAGGTAAATACTTATATAATATCAAATCCATGAACGCATCATTATAAAATGGATTGTCCTCGGCTCCTGTTGAATTATCCAATTTGATTGAATTGGTTATCTGCGAGAATCTTTTATAATAGGGACTTGATTTCATAAGACCGTCTGATTTCGAATTATTTGTTTCGTAGTCATCGAGTTTCTCATCGTCGAAGTGATCCTGATCTGCTTTTTTCGATAAGTGCATTCTGAGAGAATATATTGCAATTTCAGTGTCCCTATTAACGAATTCAGTTTTCAGTAATATGTAGACATACTTAATAGCAATATCAAATTCTCTTATTGTTTTCATCAAGATCAAGGCAGCTATGAGATCCTTCAAGAAAGTATGTTGTGTTTCATTCTTTGCTAGGTTATTAACATCTTTTGCAACCATTTTCATGTAATGTGCACAACAAAGATGTACTCCCACCAGAGATTCGTCTTTTAAATTCTGACCATTTTCATTCAAGATATAACATTTTTGGAGATACTCGAGAAGAGAACACCTGTTGAAAGCTTTGCTTATAGCGTGTAAATTAGCAAAGCTGAAATCAGATACCACTCCAGAAAATGCTGGCCAGTAGTTATTGATTTCGCAGAAATAACGAAAATCGCTCATGATTCTGAATATAGAATTGACATCATGGGTTGACGATATCATAGAAAAAACCGGATATATCCTCTTTGGTTTTCCTATTCTTATGACGGCTGTATAAAAATATATTCTATTCGAATTAGGAATAGGACTTCGAACTACGCCTCCTGTAGCATCAAAATATATAAACTGCATACCGCTCTTTTGGTTTTCATTTTTTAGTACTTCAAGTTGTTCATTACTATATAATTTGACGTTAAATGGTACGCACACCTCTTTTATGAATTCTGGATGATCGGTTTGCATGAGAATGATATCAAGTAATTCGTTTTTGTTTCTATCCAATTGACCCATCACTTCTGATTTTATTTTTCGGACTACAGCATCGGATTTTATATTTTGTAAAGACTTTCCATGTTTCAGTAATTTTTCATTTGCCTCCAGGAATGTTTTCTTCTTGTAGTTGAGAGGCATTTCATGTATTAGTTTTTTTTTCACTAACGACCGTTCAACACCTTTCACGTGACCTGTTAAATATGTTGGATGATTGAAATCCAATGAAGTGCTGAACACTTTTGCTAATTGGTCCTGAATGCTAATCTTGAACTTTTTACAGTTATATTTGTCGTGTTTACATACCGCGAATATATTTACTGATTTATTCAATTTGTTATACTTCACATATTTGAAAATGATAATACATGTATTATTAACATATTTTTTAATTCTATTCCGAATATAATGTGGATAGTATTTTCGATTCAGTTTTCCATCCGAATATAAAAATCTCCATATTTTGTCATCAATGATGAATGTTCCTTCAAATATTTTACAGTCTTTGAATGAGTTCTTAACATTAGAACGTGCATTTTTCGAGTTTAAAGGTAATAAGTCGGACGATTTTCCTGGACTCGATAAGTTCAATAAAACAGAAGGAATATCAAACGTTTCTGGAGTGATATCCGGATTTTCTTCACTATCTTCAAGCAATGTGTCAGGGTTACAATTCACGACTGAATTGTTTTTGCCGGAGCTAGCCGAATTGGATCCAGATACCATAATACACTCGTCTGCCTTCGATTTTTTATTGAAACTTAAACTCCCTTCGGGCTTATCAACATATGTCTGATCTGTTTTCCGAACAGTTTTTGGCATCAGGGTGGAAGTCTCACCATTTTCCAAATACTCTTCTTCTTCCACATCATCTTGATTATCGAATTGACATGATCCGATAAACTCATCATGAAGAATTTTTCGTTCATCTATTATGGTCGAACTATGGATACCTTCATCGTTCAAGAATGTTTCAGAAGGGAACATATTTCTACATTCATAATTTTTGTCTATGAAAATCTGGTCAGTGGTTTGAGGATGGATACCATTTTCGGAAATCGTCTGATCGTCATTTTCGAATCTTTTCCAGGCATTATAAATTCTTTTCCTATTACGGAGGGAATTTTTGATCTTCATATCTTTACAGAGAGTTTTATAAATTGAGTGTTCATCTCTCCAGTATCGACAGTGTTTTCCTAAATCTGCCTTATTAGCCAAAAGTGAACATCTCAGGACACCGTTGAATGATATTTTTACATTTTTATTTTGTTCTGGGAAATAGTTGTTGAGGAAATATGATTTGAAGCTCTCTGTTTCGTTTATAATACGAGATATGACACTCGGAAATCCATATTTCGTGTATTTCAAAGATGAGGCAATACTCACTGAGATTGCATATTCGAATTTTTCATTCAATTGATAAGAATCGCAAAATTTACGTAATTCTCTACCAACTACTTCGTAAAGTCTTACTTGCGATATCTGGTTTTGCTTCTTACCCATCTTGCAGAATATACCCACCCAAAATTTAGAATAGATGGAATGCTCACTGAATTTTTTATCTATACACTGCACTGAACAGAAATTTATGGCAGGTATTATTATTCTTTTCACGATGGAAATGATAGATTAGTTTGGCAATTTCATATAAAATCAAGGAAAAATGCTAAAGGAAGAACTTAAGACAAATTGTAACAGGTATCGGTACCTATAATAAACTTACACACTATATATACATTTATGGAAATTACCAATAAAAAAACAGAGAATTTTTATTCGAAATTGTAATTTAATAATGGAGAAGTAGAACTCGAGAACTAAAACAACTGAACTATGGGCCAAAAAAATTTAAAATAACGAAAATTCTAACTAAACTCTGAACTGATGTACAGAACAGAAACGAAGGCAGTATGAAACAACAGAGTATTCTTTCATTCGCATTCGACGGTAGTAACCGGTAAGTTATTAGGCTGTGTTGTATCGTATCGCAACCAGTGCATCGACAGTCTAATTTGTATCCAAACGCCGATTTGTTATGCCATAAGGTGCGAGCGTAAAAACAAAGCTGATCATTAGATAATGATATTAACCAAACCATTCTTCAGAATTGATTCATATTGCATATCTAGGTAAATTTTTTCAACCTTAATCAGATGATATTTTTCATATTATTTTTATTATAGGAATACATAACGTTTACTGGTACAGTTTACCCTGTAATCGAAGAATTTTCTGAAATTGTGAATTAGTTTTCATGAATTCATCCCTATTCTCAATGTTTTTATATTAATCAATAATTTCCACTTGTTAACCACCCTGAATCAACGTTTCCTTCTGCGTGAAAACAATGTTTTCAATATTAGGGGCCGAATAACTACCCCTTCGACGGCAACGAAGAGATTTTCCTTCAGTATACAGTATTGTTATATTGATTCTAATTTTTTGTGTCAATATCAACCTGGCTTCACGTTTCCTTCAAGGTGAAATTATTTTTTTCATTTTTAAGGGTGGAATTACTACCCCTTCGACGGCACCGAAGAGATTTTCCTTCAGTATACAGTATTGTCATATTGATTCTAATTTTTTGTGTCAATAGCAACCTGGCTTCTCATTTCCTTCAGGGTGAAATTATTTCTTTCATTATTAAGGGTGGAATTACTACCCCTTCGACGGCACCGAAGAGATTTTCCTTCATTATACAGTATTGTTATATTGATTCTAATTTTTTGTGTCAATATCAACCTGACTCCTCGTTTCCTTCAGGGTGAAATTATTTTTTTCATTATTAAGGGTGGAATTACTACCCCTTCGACGGCACCGAAGAGATTTTCCTTCATTATACAGTATTGTTATATTGATTCTAATTATTTGTGTCAATATCAACCTGGCTTCTCGTTTCCTTCAGGGTGAAATTATTTTTTTCATTATTAAGGGTGGAATTACTACCCCTTCGACGGCACCGAAGAGATTTTCCTTCAGTATACAGTAATGTTATATTGATTCTGATTTTTTGTGTCAATATCAACCTGGCTTCTCCTTTCCTTCAATGTGAAATAATTTTTTTCATTATTAAGGGTGGAATTACTACCCCTCCGACGGCACCGAAGAGATTTTCCTTCAGTATACAGTATTGTTATATTGATTTTAATTTTTTGTGTCAATATCAACCTGGCTTCTCCTTTCCTTCAGTGTGAAATAATTTTTTTCATTATTAAGGGTGGAATTACTACCCCTTCGACGGCACCGAAGAGATTTTCCTTCAGTATACAGTATTGTTATATTGATTCTAATTATTTGTGTCAATATCAACCTGGCTTCTCGTTTCCTTCAGGGTGAAATTATTTTTTTCATTATTAAGGGTGCAATTACTACCCCTTCGACGGCACCGAAGAGATTTTCCTTCAGTATACAGTATTGTTATATTGATTCTAATTATTTGTGTCAATATCAACCTGGCTTCTCGTTTCCTTCAGGGTGAAATTATTTTTTTCATTATTAAGAGTGGAATTACTACCCCTTCGACGGCACCGAAGAGATTTTCCTTCAGTATACAGTACTGTTATATTGATTCTAATTTTTTGTGTCAATATCAACCTGGCTTCTCCTTTCCTTCAATGTGAAATAATTTTTTTCATTATTAAGGGTGGAATTACTACCCCTTCGACGGCACCGAAGAGATTTTCCTTCAGTATACAGTATTGTTATATTGATTCTAATTTTTTGTGTCAATATCAACCTGGCTTCTCGTTTCCTTCAGGGTGAAATTATTTTTTTCATTTTTAAGGGTGGAATTACTACCCCTTCGACGGCACCGAAGAGATTTTCCTTCATTATACAGTATTGTTATATTGATTCTAATTATTTGTGTCAATATCAACCTGGCTTCTCGTTTCCTTCAGGGTGAAATTATTTTTTTCATTATTAAGGGTGGAATTACTACCCCTTCGACGGCACCGAAGAGATTTTCCTTCATTATACAGTATTGTTATATCGATTCTAATTTTTTGTGTCAATATCAACCTGGCTTCTCGTTTCCTTCAGGGTGAAATTATTTTTTTCATATTTAAGGGTGGAATTACTACCCCTTCGACGGCACCGAAGAGATTTTCCTTCATTATACAGTATTGTTATATTGATTCTAATTATTTGTGTCAATATCAACCTGGCTTCTCGTTTCCTTCAGGGTGAAATTATTTTTTTCATTATTAAGGGTGGAATTACTACCCCTTCGACGGCACCGAAGAGATTTTCCTTCAGTATACATTATTGTCATATTGATTCTAATTTTTCGTGTCAATAGCAACCTGGCTTCTTATTTCCTTCAGGATGAAATTATTTTTTTCATTATTAAGGGTGGAATTACTACCCCTTCGACGGCACCGAAGAGATTTTCCTTCAGTATACAGTATTGTTATATTGATTCTAATCATTTGTGTCAATATCAACCTGGCTTCTCGTTTCCTTCAGGGTGAAATTATTTTTTTCATTATTAAGGGTGGAATTACTACCCCTTCGACGGCACCGAAGAGATATTCCTTCAGTATACAGTATTGTTATTTTGATTCTAATTTTTTGTGTCAATATCAATCTGGCTCCTCGTTTCCTTCAGGGTGAAATTATTTTTTTCATTATTAAGGGTGGAATTACTACCCCTTCGACGGCACCGAAGAGATTTTCCTTCAGTATACAGTATTGTTATATTGATTCTAATCATTTGTGTCAATATCAACCTGGCTTCTCGTTTCCTTCAGGGTGAAATTATTTTTTTCATTTTTAAGGGTGGAATTACTACCCCTTCGACGGCACCGAAGAGATTTTCCTTCATTATACAGTATTGTTATATTGATTCTAAATATTTGTGTCAATATCAACCTGGCTTCTCGTTTCCTTCAGGGTGAAATTATTTTTTTCATTATTAAGGGTGGAATTACTACCCCTTCGACGGCACCGAAGAGATTTTCCTTCAGTATACAGTATTGTTATTTTGATTCTAATTCTTTGTGTCAATATCAACCTGGCTTCTCGTTTCCTTCAGGGTGAAATTATTTTTTTCATTATTAAGGGTGGAATTACTACCCCTTCGACGGCACCGAAGAGATTTTCCTTCAGTATACAGTATTGTTATATTGATTCTAATCATTTGTGTCAATATCAACCTGGCTTCTCGTTTCCTTCAGGGTGAAATTATTTTTTTCATTTTTAAGGGTGGAATTACTACCCCTTCGACGGCACCGAAGAGATTTTCCTTCATTATACAGTATTGTTATATTGATTCTAAATATTTGTGTCAATATCAACCTGGCTTCTCGTTTCCTTCAGGGTGAAATTATTTTTTTCATTATCAAGGGTGGAATTACTACCCCTTCGACGGCACCGAAGAGATTTTCCTTCATTATACAGTATTGTTATTTTGATTCTAATTTTTTGTGTCAATTTCAACCTGGCTCCTCGTTTCCTTCAGGGTGAAATTATTTTTTTCATTATTAAGGGTGGAATTACTACCCCTTCGACGGCACCGAAGAGATTTTCCTTCATTATACAGTATTGTTATATTGATTCTAATTATTTGTGTCAATATCAACCTGGCTTCTCGTTTCCTTCAGGGTGAAATTATTTTTTTCATTATTAAGGGTGGAATTACTACCCCTTCGACGGCACCGAAGAGATTTTCCTTCAGTATACAGTATTGTTATATTGATTCTAATCATTTGTGTCAATATCAACCTGGCTTCTCGTTTCCTTCAGGGTGAAATTATTTTTTTCATTTTTAAGGGTGGAATTACTACCCCTTCGACGGCACCGAAGAGATTTTCCTTCAGTATACAGTATTGTTATATTGATTCTAATTTTTTGTGTCAATATCAACCTGGCTTCTCCTTTCCTTCAGTGTGAAATAATTTTTTTCATTATTAAGGGTGGAATTACTACCCCTTCGACGGCACCGAAGAGATTTTCCTTCAGTATACAGTATTGTTATATTGATTCTAATTTTTTGTGTCAATATCAACCTGGCTTCTCGTTTCCTTCAGGGTGAAATTATTTTTTTCATTTTTAAGGGTGGAATTACTACCCCTTCGACGGCACCGAAGAGATTTTCCTTCAGTATACAGTATTGTCATATTGTCTCTAATTTTTTGTGTCAATATCAACCTGGCTTCTCGTTTCCTTCAGGGTGAAATTATTTTTTTCATTTTTAAGGGTGGAAT